ATTTTATATTTAGCTTTATTCCCCAGTAATATTGACCTGCTCTTATTTCTAATGGAGTCTTAAAATTAAATTTGACTTATTTGTTTGTTAATTCTAATAATTATTTCACGAGTAAATCTGGTGAGTAAATATAGAACATATAGTTGACATCTTTTTCCTCTGAAAAACACACAAAGACAAACGAAAGGGCTAGTGCTTAATTTTAAATCTAATAAAATATTGAGCGTTTTTAAATTGTTTGATGTCATCCTTATCCAGATATGATGCCATGAAAGGAAAAGAGAAGTGGAATGTAACATTAATAAAATGCTTTAATTCATCTAACTTCTTTGGACTTCCAATATTGCCTTGCAATATTTGCCCAAGCTCCAAAAGAATTAGGTGAATTTTTTTTATTTTTATTTTTATTTATAGATCAAATCTACAACCTTACAATCTTGCTTGGGTTGAGTGGAATTATATTGTAAATAATAAAAAATTTCTATAAATAGTTAACGTCATTACATATTCAAAAGTTAAACTCATAATCATTAATTAGGTTAAAATAACATGTCTATAAATTAATTAAATTTAAATCCATTGAATTCAAAGTGAATTATTTCTTATTTAATTTCCCAACAACCCCGTCCAAGGAAGAAAACAAATACTTCTACGTTCTTGCTTAATCTAATCGCTATTTGAATCCAAATTACAAGGTAACTAAACCAATAGCATGTACGTCTTCATGTCAGACCTAGCATTTTAATAATCGTTCATTATCACAAGAAAATTATTATTATTATTTGAGTAGATAATACAATATTGTTATTATTATTATCAAGCATAATACCAAAGAAAAATAATGGTATGATCGTAAACAACCAGCTGGCATAGTTATATGATATGATTGCAACTGTTTAATTAATTATACATAAGTTAATTAGACCAAAGGATAATGAAATCCTAGCGAAAGAACCGGAGCAATAATTAGTCATTTACAAATTAAAATGTCTTCATTCACGAATACGAAATAAGACTTTCTTTATTATTTCTTCATAAGATTTGTTTCTTTTTTGAAAAGGGAAAAAAAAAACTAATACTATAATAATGCCCCCTTTTTAATGGAAGTATATCAAAACGAGAAACCGACAGTTTTTTTTTTTTTTTTCTACCTGACAAAAGTTTAGTTTTACTTTTAATTAGTTTAAACATATATTTTGTAAATGATAATTTTAATCGTATAATAAATTATCAAATGTGAGCATCTCTTTTGATAAGCATTTGAACCATGATTACAAAACAGGAGTTAAGGCACGCAGTTTACTTAAACAAAGGAATTATAATACACGAAATATGAGGGCGTCAACCAGACAAATTCATATTTTTCATAGGGCCGAGTGAAATTGATTTTTGTAAATTTAAAACCGTATACATTTTACTTTGGATCAACTATATTAATAAAAATCACTTTATTAACACACACATACGCATATACTTAATTATATTAAAATACTTTTGTGGATTTCATTAAAATATTTACTGAATATAATAGATGGAAATGGACACAGCCAGAGGTGGTGGGATGAAAAGACTTCTCCAAGTTAACAATTCTCAGTGACACCTTTTTCTTTCAGACAAATAAAGATTTGGCATTTGGAATGCTTCGTGTGTGTGGGTTTTTATCTGTGTTTATAAATATATTGATTTCGTAAAACTAATTTTGAACATGTTTAAATATTTATTTTAAAAAATAAGTTTATAATAAAATTTAATATTCAATATTACAAAAAAACATTTAAAATTGTTTTAAATCAAAGTCTATTTTTACTACAATAAATATTACATATAGTGAAATATAAAAAATATTATTATAGATATAATATATATAAGTATAAACTTATTTAACATATACCAACATATAAATTTAATGTTAATTTTAAATGATATTTATTGACATATATTATGTATTATTATAATTCATGTTTATATTTTTTGACAATTATAAAAATATAATTGTAAGTAAAATTAGTTTTTAATAACAAATATGATGTCATTATAAAATTTGTGTTATTATAAGATTTTTTATATATATAATAATTAGATTAAAAAAATATTCATCATAAATTTAAATATATAATTATTTACATAAAATCAGTTAACTAATATTTCAATATAACACTAAATAGTTCATCGTGAATTTAAACACATTTCAATTGCTAGTTTTCCTTAATGTGCATGTAATGAACCATGCACAAAGAGACCAGGTAAGAGACACCCATATAAACCCCACTCACAATGAAATTGTTCATTTGAACGATTCCAATTATGCTTTGGTAAAAGCTAACTTATAATTAATGAAGTTTTGTTTTAGGGAGAAAAGAGTGGAAGTCAATTTTCTTCTAAAACTGAAAAGTATACCGCAGTTATATAGAGACAAAAGAAAGAGCACATGCGTATCTAAGCTAACATATGCATGTTTAACTACAACCAATTTTCTACCAAATTGCAATATGGACATTGTTCTAGTCACGATAAACCTCTAGATATCAAAGATCGATCTTTTTAATTTATGGCTGGCTCATTTGACTACGTTCATGTCTAGGTTTAAGGAGTGGTTACTCACAAGGACGATTTTGCCTTACATATAAGAAGATCTTGGTATTATATGATATTTAGGTACAATACTAATATTTGTTAATTATTTATCATTTTTATATTAGAAAAAGAATATATATATATATATATATATATATATTAATTTTAAATAATTATAGTTTTTCATTCTTTTTTAAACTAAGTTTTTTTCACCTTGGATAGTTTTTATATCGACTTTCTAGACGAGATGCTTTCACTTGGGATAGCCTTTGTACTCACTTTCTTGGGTGAGATGCTTCTTTCTACTTTGCTTGATGATGTATCTCTTCCAATGGGAGAGTATTATCTGCAAAAGAGACTCTAAGGTTTAAGTTAGTATTTGATGATAGAAATGTCATTACAAAGAAATTATATATCACACAGTGATACACACCCTATAGTAACACAATATGCGTCACTAAAAACTACTTTTACTTGCATAACAAATATAATATATATTGATATATTGTTTAAAAAAATGTAGGTATAGGCTACAGTGACACATTAAATATATTGTTAAATCTCATTCAAAATCAACACTAAAATTGTATGTAACTATATATCAAATAGGTATCTAACTACATATATTAATTATACCTATAGTGACACTTTTTGTATGTTATTACTATATGTAACATTTCTTGTAACGTGTCTCTTATTTATAATGCATGTACCTTTTTAGAGATAGGATTATATTTTCTATGGGTATTACGATCTTTGTGGCATGGATGTTATAACCATATCTTATATTGTTTGACTAGGTCTTCAAATGACATGATCTTGCTTACCAAATGTGGCATGCCAATGTTGTTGTTGTACTATCCGACTTGCAATGTTGATGTCTTATATCTTTGATCGATCTTGTCAGTTCAACTAGGTCAATACACTATGTATTGTATTTTTCTTTCAGTCTTTATTGTTAAACGATCTTTACATCATTTTTTCTAATATCATTAAGTTTTATTTTTATAGTATATATTTTATTTTATCATTTGTTATTGTTATTAAAAAATTTATATTTCTTTATTGTGGAGTGATCTTTATATTTTTGTTATTTCATTGGATTAATTTTACATGATCAAAGAATGTATAACTATTTATTTTTTTTTTTCAATGTTGCAAGCTTATTACAAACCATATATAAGGGACTAATAAACTGAGGATTGAGATACATAAAAAATATAACTCAATCATTGATGGTCGTTTATAAAGATTACAAAATATTTCAAAAAAAATAGTATATAATGTAAAAACATATCTCTATTTATAGTCATTATTAGCATAAACAATTTTTTTTAGAAAAAATATATTAGAAAAAGAAAATTGAAAAAAATAAAGAGGAGTCTAAATATTTGAATTAATGAAGCATCACAAATTTCATAAACTTTAACTATCCCATTAATTTGACTCGTTCTATTAAAAGTCAATAATGCAAAAATTTATGCTCAATACAAATTTTATTATAAATTTATGAAAATTCTTTATGACATGTGAAATTATATTATCAACATTTATAATGTTGGGTCCTTAAAAAAACATGTTTATTTATTTTGTGTCTGAAATTTTGGATATTTCATATGAAATTTTATGTGTAAATTTATTAGATGAAATCCCCTAACATTTAATTTTAAGCCTGGCTTTGTCCCCTGTTACTCCCATAGTAAGAGGTATGTACGTAAGTGCAATTGTGTCGTGTCCTTTGGTCTCCAACTGTCGAAGTATTCAAAACTTCCAACAATACCAACAGTCCAAGATATCGATTGAAGAAGTTAGTAATGAACTACCTTAAGAGGTCGGTCCAGAGGTTGATATTAACCTAACTAAGAGATCCACCCAAACGATAATTAAGACATTAACAATTAGCCATGAGAGTTCGACTTAAATTTCGTTAATTAAATAAAAAAAAAAGTAACAAAACATTAATTAAATCAATAAAAGAATGAAACTTAGTCCATTTTTTCATTCAAAAGTCTCATAAATAAGCTAATAATAATTTATTGTTTTCACACTTGACTAAAAAATCTCAGAAATTTCAATTGTTAATTTGAATAGAACAAGACCAAAACACTTTGTATTCCACGAAGCACCACCCCAAAACCCCATAAATTCAAACAAGCACCCAGACTTTTGGTATTATCTCAACCGGGATGCCGTGCCACCAAACACAACCTAAGCAATGTGAAAACATGACAATATTGTAGCATTACATATAATATAGTCATTCTACTAACCCTAATACATTATACAATAAATACACATAGACTCATAGGGCCATGACATACCAACCAATGAATGAATCCAAAACTTTGTTTATCATGAACCTAACTCCACCAGATAAAATCCCTCCCATGTAATGTTTTATTAATTAATTAATTGGGTATTTGCTCGCACGTCCACAATAAACTACATGCTGCCAATCTGTCACCATGGCGGCTCATATTAAACACCAACCCCAACCCATTCTCTCTCACTCTCCCTCTCCCTCTCATCACCACCACTCCTCAGCCCAAGCCCACTTCATTTTCCGGCGAGCCCACTCTCTTCATCATTTCTAATTCCTGGCATATACATATAGCAGCACATACCACATAGCATCCTATTATATATCCACCACCCCAATTTAATTTCACTCCAACCCATCATCATGTATCACCGTAGATTCAACAAACCAATAAACGTGGCTGACCCAGATGAGCCCGAGCCCGCCTCAGAAGCTGGGCCCGCTTCTCCTTCTTCCGGTGAAGACACTAAAACGGAAGCACCATCACCCAAGAAAAGGTTTTAATTTTATTTTATATTTTAATTTTTATGTGAATTTGGAACAGTTAATTAACCATTGAAAGGTTTACTTTTTCATGATACCACACATAGGAGGGAGATGAAGAAGAGGGTGGTGACGATACCGATCGGTGACGTGGATGGATCTAAGAGCAAAGGAGAGACATATCCACCGTCTGATTCATGGGCCTGGAGGAAGTACGGCCAGAAGCCCATCAAAGGCTCCCCTTACCCAAGGTACTATTATATATATATATATAGATATATATGCAAACACATTCATTCACCTTAATTATTTTCCTCAACCATTATTTTGAGCAAATTAAAACTATAAGAAGCATGTTACTGTTAATTAGCTTAATTTTTTGAGAGATGTTAATTGGAATGAAAAATGCTAAACATATTTGGGAATAAGAGCCAAATTTAGAAGTTAATAAAAATAAAAAACGTGTTCAAAGCCAGGAAGTGCCGGTGGAATTGTGGCCGGCGGCGTAGAAAAGCCGGTCGAAGGCGGCTATGCTAAAATGCGCATCAGGGGTTGTGGTGGTAGTTAGGTTGTTGTGATAGCACACGCGGGCTCTGAACCGCGTTGCGTTCACGCCACAATAATTACGGAATATAAAAATCTGGAGCCGGAAGCCGTCATTATCTATGTTTGATCTTTTGGTTTAGTGAACATTTTTTTTTCCTTCTTCTTTTTAAATTATCTCGTTTCGCTTGCTTAATCGTGTTTTATGAACTTCACTTGGTTCGTGGATTACATGCCGTGAGCAGAATAAGAGCATGTGAGATTGTGCATGTATGTATGTTTTTCATGCAGCATTGTGTTCACCACTTCAGACAACTGCATATATAGTAGTGTCAACAAATAAACTAACTTGTGTAATTTCTTAACTCATCACAATTGTTGCATGTAAATGTATAGGAAAATCAGATACATGCGAAGAAGTAAAAAAGCATTAGAACCATTTGTACAAAATACTATTATTGCTTTAAATTGTTTAAAATAGATGACATTTAGTAACAAAAATATTATGTAATATATTGATTATAATTGAGCGGGGATTCGGGATTTAAGTTTCGCATTTCAAGTAATGATTAACTGAGAAAAGAAAAGGGATTGAGAAACACGCGCTTAAGATAGGGCAAAACCCGTGAAAGTGGCATTCTGAATTTTCGGTTGTTTTGGATTATGAGATTATCATGGCAATCCACATCACCCTTGTAATTGTATGATATTTTTCCATAATAGTATTATTTTTTAATGTGTTAATAAAATATATAAAAAAAATAATAAAAAAGAAAATGAAAATGCAGGGGATACTACCGATGCAGCAGTTCAAAGGGGTGTCCCGCAAGGAAGCAAGTTGAGAGAAGCCGTGTGGACCCCACAAAGCTCATAGTCACATACTCTTACGAACACAACCACTCCCTCCCAATTCCAAAATCAAACTCCGCCGCCGCCTCCGCCGCCGCCTCCGCCTCCCTGCCTTCGCCCGCCGAATCCGCCGACCGCTTCCCGCCGGAGGAGCCCGCCGTCTTCGCCACGCACTCCGACCTCGAACTCGCCGGCGACGCGGCGGTTCTGCTCGGCCACCACCACTTCGGGTGGTTCGACGACGTCTCGTCCACCGGCGTCCTCGAGAGCCCCATCTGCGGCGAGGTGGATGACGTGGCGGTGCCGATGAGGGAGGAGGACGAGTCGCTGTTCGCCGATCTCGGCGAGTTGCCGGAGTGTTCGGCGGTTTTCCGGCGGAGGAATATTCCGAGGGGCGGCGCGATCCCCTGCGGCGGCATCACAGGATAACGCGGGTGGACCTTTTTCTTTCGCCCCGCGTTGTTACGTAGTGATGATGTTATTATATTCGCGGCCTGAAAATCGTGTGCCATTAAAAAATTGGAAAATGATTAAATAAATAAATTGATTAATTTGCAATTCATGGATTTCTTTTTTTCTTGCGATGTACATTTGAATAAACAATTGATTAGTTACAGCTCTGCAGAATTGATATGCGTCTGCCATTGTTTTTTTCTTGTTTTCTATAGAACCCATTGCAGCCACATGCACCTCATTAATGAAAACTCATGCTTAACCTTATCCATAATACAACTAAGATCTCCTTACAATATGAAGTTGAATAAAGATTTTAAGATTAAAATATAGTTTCAATTCATAAAAATAAAAATATGGTATATTCTGCTTAAATTTTGATAAAAATTTTATTTTTAAACTTTGCAAAAAAATTAAGTGTTTTTAGTATTTGATAAAGAGATAAAATCACATCCTCATATACTCATATACATTAATATCAACATTTGAGAATATTTTTAGGACTATTTTTTCGACGAAAAAATTTTAAGAAATTTTTTTAATTTGATTTTATTTTTTATAAGTATTTATAAATTAAATTTTAATATTTTTAAAATAAATTATTAAAAATTAAAAATAATTTTACA